GATGCAGATCTCTTAAGAAAGCACACCCCCCAGATATGGATTGTAAGACCTCTGAAAAGGCTAGGATTTGGGTCGCTGATCAAGAGTCTACATGAAGTGGTGGTGGGGCAGATGTGAACAACTTATTGTGATCCTATCCTTATTTTGGCCATAGTTATCCAAGGAGACTATTTGGGAGATGGGTGCTTGTGTGGCTGGGTGTGGGTGCGGGCGTGGGTGTGAGTGGGGACCCTGCGGTATTTGAAACATGCTGCGGAGTAGAAGGATAAATGAAGCTGTACTGGAGCAAGGGACTCAGGGGCATGATGGAGTTGAGTAAATCAAGCCCAGTCGCCTTTGGAGTTGTTGACAGTCCCAATGAGTTTGAAATTTGAACTATTACCTTTGGAACCTGCTGGCGCTTAGTCCACCTCATGATGACCTTCAGAGGTCCTGGATGCTTCACTGTTCCTGGAACAGTCGAATCATCGAACCTAAAGAACACGTTGAGGACCCCAATGGCACCTCTGTGGCACCCCGATGGTGCATGGTCTTGTGCTTTTTGCGTTTCGCCTTTCAAGCGCCATGTTCGTCCAACACTCCAGGGGGGCCCGAGCGAAACACTCCTAAAGCAGCCAGCAGAACCCGGGCAGCCCCAGACCAGCTGCTGTCAACCGACCCCCTTCCCAAAAAAGGGCAGCAGCTGCTATCTCGCTGCTCTTGGTGTCCTACTCCTCTTTCGCTTCCTTTCGGCCAGGCTTCGCCCGTGAGCGCGCCGAGCTCTTACACTTCCGGCGGCTCACACCAGCAGAGAAGCCAAAGGAACTGGTGCGGCGCCTCAGATGCGATGCGTCCGCAGACGAAACGGGGCTCTCGTCGGACGAAACGGGGACGTGAGCCGCCAGCGGAAAGACTCAAAAGACCAAACGGGCAAAGCGGGCGCAGAAGTCTGGATTGGAGTGTGGGTTGGAGTGTGTTCCGTTCATTTGGGGTGCACAACAGCTGGTGAGCACTCAGTGAGTGCTTTGGCTTTGATTGATAGGAAAGAAGGACACCGTTCACAACGAGTTGTGGGCGCATTTGGACTGCACAATGCGCGTGGGAACTCTCAATGCAAGTGAGAAGTGCACGGGGACACGGGGGTAGCACCAGATGCACTTGACACACGGCCGTGTCTTTCGTTTGTGCCAGGCGACCCTGGGCTGCGCGAGGGTTTAGCCGCACGGCAGCTGCGGCTCCGAGCATTTGGAGCAGCAGGCGTTCTGAAAGACGGTGGAAGGGATGGAGAATTGCATGGTGAGTGGGTTGGTGATAGGGGAGGGGAAGACCACAGATGTGTTTGTCACTGTACGTGACGGTATATATTTTGTGGATCCTTTGCTTGTGATTTGACCTGACAATGTCCACAATGTCCTACCTCCAGCACAGAGTTTGGCTCGTGCCAGACTGCATGAGGCCATTTCCTTTCCCCATCTCATCCCAAAATCAGATCAAAGAAGGAAGGAATGGACATGGAAGGATTAACTCAGAGCTCGGGTTGCACACAGAGCTCGGGCCTCAACGGTTCAGATGGTTGTCTAACAGCCACCCACCAGCTGCACTAGCTCCTGCGTGGCTGCGTGGCTGCGTGTGTGATTCGATTTGGTCGATGTCCCTCGAACAGCTGCATTAATTATTAGTGGGGAGTATGTCCACATAGAGCGGCATGGCGTCAAGCTGTAGATGAACATGGTGCAAGTCGGATCTTGACCACCAGCGACGATGCACTCGTTTCACACTATGAATACCTATTCTGGGGAAGCAAGGGCCTACTCACCACCATTAGTAACTTGAACTACTAATGAGAGTTGCACTTAAGATGCATATACAAACCCCGTGTTCTTTTCGACCTCCACCTACACCGCCGCCGCCTAGGCCACCACGCTTGACACAGCCGTGGGACGGGCTGTGCCAAGGGAGGGGGTGAGATTTCACAGCTTTGATCTGAGCGTGCGGCCGATTGAAGTGCTGTACGTGAACATAAGACCGAACAAAAAAACGTACAGTGCGCCTTCGCAACATGGTCCACAGTGGATGGGCACCACAACAAAAAACGGCCCGATCTCTCAAGCGAAATGGTTTGAAATTCGGACGCTTGAGGGGGGGTTGCTTGATATGTATTGTACTGCTTATGATGCCCAAGCTGTGCCCAGAATGGATTCGTTGACTCAATTGGTGAAGCTGTGGGCGTGGTGACGAAAAAAACCGGGCACAGCGGGTCAGCTGTTGTTGCAGGACTGGAGACCCAAGCGCAACACGCGACCCTTCCTAGTACCCAAGATCCAAGATACTTCGAGTATTCAGAATGTTCGCCAGCTAGAGAGCGATAGCTACAGGGGTCTTACTTCTCAATGACTGGGTGCCCGTGTTCAGATTTGGAAAGTTTGTGGCGATGCCGACCTGAGTGAAACCGAGCATGAAAGGACACCTTTTACCCACGCGTTGCTTTTCAGCTCGACGTGTCAAAGATGGTGATCCCATGTTCTCAAAGGCTGCCACGAACACAAAGCTGACATAGGACATAGAACGAGAGTGTTCATCCCCATCAGTGCAATGACCATGAAAAACGATGAAGAAACTCCAGCAAGATGATTTACGGGGGGTTCTTGGGCCACTGTCGCAAATGCTTGGATGTTCAGTCCCGAGAGTATATCGCGGATGGGTTAATTTGGGGTCAGCGGCAATGGCAGGGCCAAGAGGAACTAGACAAAGCAGCTGAGCAGGTTGGGGTTGGCTGATTTTCTTGTGCAATCGAAGCCATGCTTCCTTTCTGACAGGGGTTCGATGGAGGTTCACATGGTGTCACAGGAAGGTGAGTAAGTGATGAAGAAATCCTCGCCCCTTGCCACTCTCACATGCGCTGTCCTGGGCGGCTTGTTTTGCCGAATGAGAGAAGTGCAGTGAAGCCAGCAGCCGAAAAACCGCACGCCAATGAAATACAGAAGCTGGCTGGACTTAACACCTAATCTAGTCAAGCAAATTATATAAGAGGCGTGAGAGATCTTCCTTCACTCGTACAAGTGTCAATTCCAGTGGCGCATCGGACACCCCGTGCCCGGCCAGCTTGTGGTTTGATCCTGGACACACGGTGCCCCTGCAGCTTGCAACGTAGCACGGTCCCCCACCCATACGCTCCCTGATATGTTCTCGTGGAGGTGGAGGTAGTTCACCACCTCTCTTGTACCGTTCGGGGCCATGCCATATCCACGTCCATGAGGACGTTCCAGGGAGCGCAACCATCAACACAATAAGCATACGATCAAGAACTGGGTGGTGGTTTCAGATGTGATCAGATGTGTCTATGTTGCACCTGTTCTTGATTGAACCCACTAACTATATAGAGTGAGTTTGAATTGCGTTGAACCCACCTACCAGAAAAGAAGTGCCTCCAAGAACTCCACAAGTTTGAAGTCAGTGGAGCGGAGCGCCGAGGTGGTCGACCAAGAGAAATGACGGGTGAGTTTTCTGGACTGGCTTGCGAGTCAAGAAATGGGAATCCCTCAAAGAGTTCGCCTTGAATTTGCAGACGTTATTTTGTTTTTTTTGGGGGGGAGGTTTTCAATTTTATAGATAGATATTTTTTTGTGGGGGAGGTTTTCAATTTTATAGATAGATAGACAGATATATAGATAATATATAGATAGACAGATGTAACTGCAGAGACTGCACCGCTCCAACTGGCAAAACACCAGGTCCCATTCTGCGAGTTTGCCCGCTCCACGCGGGGTTTTGGAGAGCCCATTCCTCTCCGATTCGATCGTTTCTGGGAGCGTTGCTTCGTCGCCAGGGTGTTTGGAACACTGGGCGAAGCTAGGGGGGAACTCGGAGAGGTTTGGCAAGGAACGTGCAAAACAAGTGCTTCACTCTTGGTCATGAACATGGGCACGGAGAATGGGCTCCTTTATGCATGAAAGACGATATTGAGGAGGTGCATGTTCCATGTCTATGTTAATAATTAATTAGCTACAACGGATCAGGAGGTGAACACATGGATTCTTGTATGTTGTTGCTCCAGGGTGGTCTATTGTTGTTGTTTCAGCAACATCACTAGGCTTGGGTTGGTTTTGCTGCTGCTTGTTAAATATATGACTATACAAATCCCTGACACACGTAAAAATAGAAATGAAAATAAATCTGAGGCCAGACAGAGAGAGAGAGAGAGAGAAAGAGAGTCACAAGGTGTTCACACGGTACAATCGGCACAACAAAGATCGTGGAGGTCATGGTTACCGACCGGTGACCCACCACTCCAAGCCCGGATATATGTTCATGGTCTATTTGTTTGCATGCTTGGCTACCCAGTGCATGTCCAGCTATAGCCATACTTGTTTGCTTGTCCACATCAGTGGATTACATCATGCCAAGCTTGTGACCGATCACAGCGACGAAGCAGTCAGAAAAAATTGTGCTCCCCTTTATGGCATTACTGTCGTTTGCTTCCCCGGGAGCGTTTTGAACTTGAAGTAGGCATCCACTATACCATTTCAGACATGTGCGAGAAAAAGGCTCACTGCAGGGAACAACTGGGACTGGGATGTGACACATGTTCGTTGTTCAGCTATGCAATTCGCTTTTCACTTGTTTGCTCTCCACGTGTAAAATGAACGGGTGAAAACGGCGCACCTTGTGAACCCAACTGCATTCTACAAGAATTTGAGTTCCACCTTCCCAGAAGGTCTCCAGTATCAATGTTTCATAAACTTTCCAGGCCATGTGAGAGGGCAAAAGTTTGATTCTACTGCCGGGAGCTAGTAACAACTTCAGTGGACACCAGGCGACACCAGGGCACTGAAATGCTTTGAATTTCATCCTGCCAGTTGGCCCCCCAGCATGTGTCTTTCTGTGAGGAGTTGAGGAAGTTCATTGGAAGGAAATATCCCGGTTGGCCCATTATTATCCATGCCTTTATTCCCCATGTCAGCAATATGGCCGCTATGGCGCTTGGAGTGCGGAAAACACGGGGAACACGAACCAGATGTGAGGCCATGACAGCTGAAAGCATGGGCTTGCAGAGTGAAGATCAGGAGTGCGACTTCTTGCTGAGACACTGGAGGCACACAGCGAAGAATCAGGCTATGATTCAACTGCGTAACTACCGTGTTCCAATACAATGCCTACAAAGCCCTTTCTGATTAATATACGCTTGAACTTTGGTCCGCCCTGACACTGAAAGGTCACCACTCAACTCTCCGGCCAGCAATCGATGAAGAGATTGAAGGTTTTATGCCCAGCTACAGCTACTTGATCAATGCTACTGGTGGCATGGGTATTTTGGGAGTAGAAGACCCCAGGGAGAAGTTCTGCTTCATCACCTGCCGGCGCCGGTCGACACCCAGGAGACGCCCTTGTACATGTACTGTTCGGACGCCCGCGGGGGAGGTTCGGTTCGGACGTCCCGTCCGGGGAAGTGAGCCACACCCGGACGGCAGGGAGGTGTGTGTGTGCTTGGTTCGGTCGGTGACCTTCGGGTGGACACCTTGCGAGTTGGATGAGTCAGACGCTTCCCTAGTAGTCCAGTGGCTCACAAGCAGGGTCAGCGGAAAACAACGCCAAGTCCAGTCCTGCCCGGACAAAAAGCAACACTTCCTTCTGGCAGCGCTCATGAGTGGTGCATGTGCTCCAGAAAGGCATGGAACCCGAATGATTAATTAGAGGATATTATGATATTGGAGGGCTTGAGCATGACTTTGTGACCTTTCGTTACAGGAAACCAGTGCTTTTTGAGTGGTCGTTTGACTTGCTGTTTGGTGCAATACCCCACCGACAAAAACAAAAGCAATACCCGAGACACCGGATGCATCCCAATCCTGCTTGGACGGTTAGCCGGGCACCCCCCACCCAGGTACCGGTGGAATCCGCTGCGAGTTCATGGGTGCGGCGCTACGACAGCGTGGCGACTGGGCAGAGTTCATGGCGGGAAGGAGCAGGTGTTCTTTGCCAGATGGTCACAGAATGTTCACAGAATATCATATCAGCTATTTCAGCAACCTGAACAGAAGAATTAATTTCTATAGGCCGGGAAGTGGGTTGGATGGTTCGAAGCAAATGAATTTGGTCTTGTGTTCAGTATCAGGAGGTTCCTCAACCTACTCAGAATTGGATCAGATCGCAGACTCCCGTGCACCACACATGTGAGACGAGCGTTTGAAAGGACGCCAGAGGTGAACCACGTCATTTCACTCGATTTGCCTCGATCCATTTGTTTTTGGCAAAGTGGACACAATGCAATCAGAGAACACTCAATGCAACCGTGGATGGGTGACAAGTGTGATGCCCATGGCCAAGTACTACGTTTGCTGGTTATAGGAGATTCATCAGGTCCTCGGCAAGTCACTCACTCCCCTGGGAGACGCATCAAAGAATAAGCAAAAATGCATCAACAAATAAACACACGTGCATCAAAAAAGTAAAAATGCATCAACAGAAAAACATAGAAAGAAACAAAACAAGGACGGAAGGAAGGAAGGAAGGAAGGAGGGCTGTGAAATTGAAATGCGATGTTGCAAAACTGTTTGCCCAGATGCCCAGCGCAGAGACCATTGCATGCAGTTATCAAAGGAATGGGAAACTCCATCTTATTTGTTTTTTGGTCGTGCCAAGTTAGATTGCGGGGGAGGCGCCGTGCCCTCCCCCGCGCCCCCTCCCGCTTTCAATTGTTGAGCGTAGAAATAGTATTATTGTTCGTTCCTTCCTTACATTCATTCAATTGAATTGAGCTGAATTGAGTTGAACTGAATTGAATCCAATCCAATCCATGCATTCAATCATTCGTTCATTCAATCATTCATTGGTTTATTAATTCATTATTTCATTAATTTCATTTTGTTTCGTTTCATTTCACTTCATGTCACTTCAGTTATTGTAATGTCATTTCATTTCATTCAATTCATTTCCTTTCCTTTCATTACAATTCATTTCATTCATTCATTGATTCATTCATTCGTTCTTCCTTTTTCTTTCACGTTCATGTTCATTTCTTTGCGTTTCATTTCATTTCATTGTCATTTCAGTTCATGCAAGTTTCCTGTTTTTTGGATGCATGTTTTTTGCCTTTTTTGGATCAATGCTTCGAATGGACTATTGCTCTCCCCTCTGCGCGTTTGGGTCCGTGTATTTTTACTTTTTGATTCATGTTTGTTTTCTCTTGATCCCCTGAAATATACTTATTGTTCGATTCAGTTTTTTTTTTTGATCCCTCGCCCCACTCCCTAGGTTTCAAGAAGGTCCCGGACCCAGCGCGTTGGAGGGAGAGGATGATGGATGAGTGGTTCATGGTTGACTTTTTAAACAGATGTGGGGCAAATCCAAAGAGCAATCGCGACGTCCTGAAAGCCTTGCATATGTGACCAATAAAAACGTTCTACGCCAAATCTTTGATTGTTCAGGTTCCTGATTCAGAGTAGCTTCCCATTCTCTGTGATGGAAGAGTTCCGCAGGTTCCTGAAGTGAACGGTGTTGAATGGCCAAGATGTTTGATGCATGATTTGTTTGAGATCGTACTCAGTCATGATCAACGTGTTTTTCTGTAAGGAGGGGTTCAAAGGGACACATCGTTCCATTGCTTCCCAACTCGCGTTTTGGATCTGCCAATGGTGGAATATCAAGCCTCAGAGATCACTGGGTCGTAGCAACACCATGCAGCAGAAGAGCGGACCATGTGGGTGGGAGGTCTACAAGCTGAAGGGCGGGATCCAGCACTATGGCAACACTGTGGGCGCTGAGGAGTGGAAGGCGACGATTTCGCCAGTACCAGGGTGTGAGACCGAATGGAAGTGGAAACAGAGCTGTTGGGTCATAGTTGTTCTTTCTGGCCAAGCGGGGCACGGCCGTGTTTGGGAAGTGGGCGATGGGATGTACAGAGCTTCCTGTTTGGGAGGGTTGCACATGTTGCAGTTTGGGGGTTTTGCATTCGCTGCACGGTGAGTTCTTTGAATATGTCTGACTGCAGTCAGCCAATTCTTCAAACAACAACTTGTTTTGCCACGAGTGCACAAAGAATTGTGAATCTGCAGATTTCTGGGTTCTACCTCACCTAATTTGTCTCCTAGCTTCCAACTGAACGCAAGCCTGATTTGACAGAATGTCCACCATCCCAGATTCCTTTGAGGAGGCGGTAGCCTAACCCACTGAAGAGTTGCCCAGTCAAATTGACAGGGCTTTGAAGAAGTATGCGTGTGTCCAGAACTCTTCAGAGACTCATTAATTAGGTCGCACTTCCATGACTGGTTACGGAGTGTAGTGGTTGGGGAGTGTGTTCTGCAGGGACCATGTGGCTCCACTGGCTCCACTCACCCAGGGACGTTTGTTCGTCTTCGACCGCCGCAACTCCATCAGCGTGGGACCAGAGGGCCTGAAGACCTAGCACCAGAGGGCCTGAAGAACCGGGAGCCGCCTGGAGTTGGGTGGTTTTCACGTGTTTTCACTCCCTATATTTAAGATATTCAAGATATTTATATAAGTGAGTGGATGTGACAGGGGCACCCCAGATTTCTACAAGCCGAACTGGAATGGAAAGCGGATGAAAGAGGTTCCTGGGATAGCTATCCCCAGATCCTCCATATGGGTCGGTCCCGAGATGATGCCGGAGATTTAGTTCCAACACGATGCGTGCATCACCTGTCGAATGTGCTGCACTGTGCGGGTGTTCTTTACAGAATGTATGGATAGAATGTCGGAATGATAGAATGATATGGATACGAAATGCAGGAACATGCAGGTGATATGGATGTGATATGGCTAGAAATGTAGCTGTTGCATGCTATTGCGAGTTCGCCAGTCAGGAGCGGTCGTCGTCCCATTGCGCGGAGCGGTGTTCCACCCGGCCGAGGCCGCGCTGAACCTCAGTGGTGTTCCACTTGCGGCTCTCGAGTGGCCGAGGAGCGAGGTCGTGGGGATCGAAGGTCGGCGAGGTCGTTCGGAAGGAGGAGACGGAGGGGGGGGGGGCCGTTTTCAGCGGATGGGTCGACTGATGCAGTGGAAGGTTCTTGGACTTTTGCAGGTTATTTTGGGACCTTTTGTTCCAAGGCAGGGATTATGACATCAGCAGTAATTTGTCCCCATCATCTGATCCAATGGCGTCCCATGGTGATTAAACATTATTCCCCAAATTTGGTGGACTTTAACGTTTGGGTGTATGATATTGTATGCACCTTAGGAAGTTGAAAGGCTCCACAGCAGGTCCTTTTCGATATTTTGTGAAGCTGTCGCCACCTTCGGATGATGTTGTTCTTCTTTCTCTTTCTTGCTCGTAAAGCACCCGTGACGCCCCTAGGAGTTCTGGAACTGCGGGAACATGGATTGCAACCGCTGCATGGTCACTTGTCGGTGACTCAGGAGCAGCTGGAGCTTTTGCGACATGTGCAAAGTGGAGTTTGATGCCAACACCGGATTAATAAACGGCCCCACCCTTCAAGGTCTTCAAGGTCAACAGGGTTTGAGATTGGAGGTATTGGAGACCACATCCCCTCAATAAAGGTGATGACCTGATGATGGATGATGGTTGATAGGATTCTGTGTGAACACTGAAGCATGTGTGAGGGGTGCCATTTGTGAGCTTGCAAATGTTAAGTTAAGATTTTGATAGATGTTTTATAAGGGAAGATTGATTAATTTTGCTAGAGAGGTCTTCAGGGATTGTGGAACAAAGCTTGCTGGGGAGAACATTCGCAGCTTAGATTGCAGATGATTGCAGCTTTAAACAATATTAGTATTGGGGGCTCGAGCTGGGCTTGCTTAATAAAAGTATATATATATACAATAATTGCTTAATCCTGTGTCAACATTACAGCGCTGAAGATCCACCTTAAATGAATCCCTATTTTGGAGGAGGTTTATATCCTTGAACACATTAAAGCCTGAAAAGTGGTCGGGGGTTGCATGGCTTTGTCAGCCGCCGGCTTTGGTCGCATTTCCCAGGCCGCGAGTGCTTGAGGAGCCTGGATGGTGTTTGCTGCAAAGGCTGCATGAGAGCCGCCAGGCGAAGGGAGCGGAAATGATTCGTGGAGCCCAGAGGTTCCCGTCTTCGTCTCCAAAAGAATGGTCAAAAATTGGACTACAATATGAATTATGCTGAGTCATTGAGTGCGAATGTCAGTCGAAGTGTAGGCGGCTATATGTGTTGCCAACCCTAGAATGGCAGATTGACGACTAGGAGGATTTGGCTTCTTGATTACAGAAGTGGATTAGCAGACTGCAGATCGGCTCGATTCTGGTAGGATGAGGGCAGCAATTGATAGATGCTTGGGGATCCTTAGGGTTCTCCCTTTTTGGCGACTTGTGCTCCCCCCAGCCAATGTTGAGACGAAAGAGCATGCGCAAGGGCATGCTAGGTATTTGCGATGGCCTCCAACCTACTAGCGATTGCTATCAACGAGGTTGCAGCTGAGATTGGGCTCTCTTTCCCAAAGTGTGTAGAACTGTGGCACATTGCCGGTGTCCCTTCCGTTTGGATAGTGGAAGAGCCACAGACCTGAGAGCCACCGCCTAGTGAGAGCAAATGGTAGAGAATGGGTTCCCGTTGAGTGATATTGAATTACAGTGTTCTGATTCCCACCTCCTTTATATAGTATCTAACCCTGGTGAGCCTGATCTTTCGTTCTCGCTGTTTGCTCATATATTCGCCCCCCCAAACAGCTATTTGGCCACATTAAATAAATCGCGCCGGCCAAAGAAAGGCAATGCAGGGTTGACAGCCAGGCAACGATTTTAGCTTCAAACTGTGAGTGCATTCGGCTTAAGCCATAATGCTTCAACATCTTCAGGGTAGGTTCAACCGCGGGTGAGATCCTCCCCCCCGTTTGGTTTTCTGCATTTCAGGCGCTTGCCGGCGACATGGTTGAAGTCTCAGAACTGTTCGTTGGGCGTAAAATCGTTTTTTCTGGGCTGAATTGCCATGCTTGCAGAATGACTGCCCACTGAATTTGCATGCTGTGGAGAGCTTTGTGGAACTTTTGTTGGTATCTTCTTGTGGTTCAATCATGCATTCCTTGGCTTCAGGAGAGGCATGAATGGAGGCTTGAACAACATGCAGGCGCACTTTGCATATGGAATGATATATTCTCAACCATATATCGCAAAATAGATTATAATCATGTTCATGTGGAAAACAAATGCCAGGGAAATATTCCCATATTATCGATAGATGAAATATAAAATTAGTAAATAAATATAAATAAAATAAATAAATATATGTTATTATGTGTTCTAATATTTTTTTGAAAATAGATATTAATAATCAATAAATAATTAATATATTATATATTTGTTCTAAACATTTTTAAATGAATTATTTTGTAATAATTTATATTTGATTATTAAAGAGGTTTGGGATCTAAAATCGATTTTTTAGATTAATGAAGAGATATTTCTTTGGATATATATATCGTTGTATATTAATTGAAAATCTTAAGGTCGACGAATTATAGATTAGAATAGATATTGAATAAAGAATTTGAATTCGTATCGGAATCTATTATATATTAAAATATTTTTTGTAATGATTTTGGAATATAGAATATAGTTGTATTGAATTTTAAAGAATTATATTTTTCTTAAGAAACAATATATTTATGGGTTATATGGATTTTAAAATACATTATGGAACATAATTTTTGAAAGGTAAAATTAATATTATAATTGTATTGTTTAATAGATTTTTTTTAGTGACGAAAGATATATTTATTATGAATGGTTAATTTAATTTTTTTTGTATGACGGATTTACAATTTTAGGGTTATTAGGAGTAAAGAATATGGAATGGCAATTGAATTAAGCAAAAGAATTATAATAAATATTAAAATAATCGAATTTTAAAACCATATATTGATAATATTTATGTGGTTGTATTTTTCGATTATCTCGTAAGGAATGCATGCATGGATTCTTTTGTATATATTTGGATTGATATAATATTTTAGAGATTGATGATTAATTTAATTTAGATAATTTGTTGGTTTTGCGAAATTTCTGGGGGATATTTATATTTTTTTTAATATATCTTTTGATATTTTTTCTGATATATTTCCTACTTCGCAATCGAGATCCGGCGACTTAATATAATATAAGCACCTTTTAATATTTAATAATAATTTCTAATGTCTTCGCAATTTATTTTACAATAATAAAATATATTTGAAAAAAGGAAAATACGAAAACTAGGATAATGGGAGGAAAATAAATATATAAAAAATATAATGTATTATTGGTAGAATCGAATAAAAGATCGAAATTAAATATGGGAAAATAGATAATAATTAGATATATATATAATATATATTTATCTAAAGGCTTACGCCTAACAACCGGGCGCCGGCCCACTTGGGTCTGTGTAGGGCTGGGTCGGATGCACGTTAAGCTATCGGGGGCATATTGGGCCCTGGGTGGTGCCAAGGTGGGAAATTGGTCCGCGTCGGAGACGGGGGCCCCTATATTGAGCAAAATTAAGCTATCTGGTGCGCATCTTGGCCCTAGGGTGGGCAAAATTAGGCCCATGTGGTCTATGTTGGGTACATCTTGGGCCCATGTTGAGCCTATGTTTAGCCTATGTTGGCCTATGTTAGGCCTATGTTGGCCTATGTTGGCCTAGGTTGGGCCTATATTGGCCTAGGTTGGGCCTATGTTGGGCCTATATTGAGCCATCTTGGAGGCTATGTTGGGCATATGTTGGCTATCTTGGGCCTATGTTGAGGACATGTTAGGCAATTTAAATCGTCTGAAAGGCCTCGACCCACAAAATGTCGATTATGCCTGTCCGCCGGGCATGCATTACCGACACCACCCTTGAAAAACACAGCATTTTTGCATTTGTCAATCTTCGCCGCGTCGCACTTTGGTGTGCGCAATAAAACCTATAAAACACAATCATTTTTTTAATACCGCACACACACGAAACACTGTAAATTACAGGGGCTTCAATGAACAGGAAGTGGGAAGGGGATCCCCCCCGTTTTTCGTGACGAGGGTCGGCGGCAGCCAGGGCCAACATCTATAACCGAAGGACCACCGAAGGCCCTCCGGACAGGACATAGGCTTCGTGGCCAGCGCCCGGATTTATATAATAATCCTCAATGACAAGAGAAATTAAAAACAACATATCATGTCTCTCCATAAATATTGTCTCAAGCTTAGAATATTCAATACCAAATAATTATCGAGGTGATGCATTTCGGAATAAAAAGATCAGAAGGGAGGGAGAATTATGTTTTAAAAAAAAGGGTGTCTAAATTAACACTAAATTCCAAGGGGGGATAGAATTAAATCATTAATTAAATCCGAAATAATATGTATATTTACTTCGCAAAACACATTTAAAATATCCAAAAAAAAAGATCGTAAATTACAACAAATTATATTTAATATATCGATTATTTCAATTTAAAATAATATATATTTTTTAAATCTATTTTACAACAATCAAATATATTATATATATATATATCATATTCAAAATTACGAAGCGGCGAACGAAAAGGATAATGATAACGACGACGTAACGATCGTAAAAACCCCTTAATATAATCCCATAATATAATATTCATGCTATCGTATTGCTAGGGGAAAGAAAAGAAACGGGCAAAACGACCGTTTGTAACAAATTTTTAATTAATTTCCATCGAAAATAATTTTCGTAATTTATTTTAAACTAATATATTAGTATTATTTAATACATCTAGATTTAAATACATTTTCTAATAATATATTCAAATAATAATATACATAATATATTAATTATATATAATATACATAAATTTCATATTCTATTTTAATACTATTAAAATATATTATTTAATAAATATATTATATATATATTAAATACATAATAATCTATATATTTAAGTAAAACAAATATATCCATTGCATAAAAATATCAATATATAATTAATACTAAATAGATTTATTAATATTCATAAAATAAAAAATTCAATATATATATATATAAATAAAATAATATAAATTTCAATTTAAATATCTTATGTTCATATATCAATCACTATATTTATTTTTCAAATCAAATCCCCTTTGAAATTCATATGGCTACTTGGGTAGCACCATTTCATACTATAGATCTACGTCCCCCATGTGGGGGTCTCTTTAAAATCATGCCCCCCAACTCATGCGCACGCTATAGAATCAAAGCCCCTATGTCGTGAAGTGAAAGCTCACGGAAAGTATGTACGAAGTTTTCAACACTAAAGAATCATAATCCCCATCTCACAGACCGATTCCTTATAATGCTATATGTGCTTGCTTTTTCATCATGAGCCTTCCACGGGGAAGTTTTTTTCATCATGAGCCTTCCACGGGAAAGTTCACAGAGCACAAAATTGAAAGAACAGAGAAAAGGTGAAAGAACACTCAAAAAATGATTGTTACAAAAAAAACATTCAAAGATCCCCCTTAGAATTTCAAGGTGAATTTAAATAGACCATTTTCTATTTAGAAAAAACGGTGCATTCATTTTTGTCTAATAAATGGTTTTGGCCAGGTAAAAGCACTCTCTAGAAAATACTAAGTATTCGAGAAAACTACCTAGAAAACCCAAGTATGCAAATAAAAATGTAATCGTGTTTTTTTTCGGCAAAAAGGTCATCTCAGCCAAGAAACGTCATTATTTTGTAAAATTGTAGTTGCTGCGATCAAGCCAGTGGAGGGTATGCAATATTCGGTTCCGGCGAAAGTGCAAGGATACACCGTACCTTTCGATGGTTTTTTAGGATCACCTGCTTGCTTGCAACCTGTCTACTGACACGGCTGATTCTCCCAATAATAAAACTTTGTTGGCTGCACAATGCCATTTAACTGACACGCAAAATTTGGACAGTTTGACAATTTCCCTCGTCTCAAAAGTGGTGTGAGAAAAATTTGGCGTTTGGGCCGAAGTCATACACAACCTGTAACGCAGTGCGAGCCCCTCTTAAGGAATCGAAACAACTACTACAGCGAGTTAGCCGTGTTTTGCTCGCGCAGGGGGCTGCACAACATCATGGGTCAGGCAGGGCATGCCACAGAGTGGCGCAGCTCGAAACCAAGGAGTTGATAGGAGCAGGCGTGGCCTCATCAAAGGAAACCTGCATGTACCAATGTACCAGAGGCCCCTGAAACAGCAAAACTTTCTACATTCAAAACATCCAAACCGTGTCCGGCAATTTCCGCAATTTTTCCGGTGATCTCCGTCATTTGGACGGTAAATTCCGTAATTGTTTTTCGGCCACTCCTGCATGGAAGTTTAAATGTCCACCGAAAAAAACGGACATCTCAGCGATTGCAGATCGAGCTAGGTTCTGTTTCCCTTGCCCCAAGCGTTTCTCTATTATTCAGCTTTGAATGATCACCGCAACTCATCCGAATCTTCCAGGCAAGATGGAATCAAGGCATTCCATGACAAGCTGTTGGGATAATTTGACGCATCTCAAACACAGCATGCTCTCAGTGAAATTGGCTTCTGTCCGGTCGATTTCCAGGGCCTTCGCTTCGAAGTTCTTCGAGGGCAAAGGCAGAGCAACTTTTCAACGTCTTGAAGTTTTGGCCACTCTAACCATGACTATGAACTAACTAGATAGAGCTCGACCACTTTGAAATGGCTTCGATGGCGATATGGATCTCCAAAGCCGTCCAAAGCAATCTTTACAAAACGAGGACGTTGCGATTTGTGCACAGGGGGCATCATGTATCATCTAATTGTCCTCTGGTGATTGCAACATCCTCTGTGTACAGAAAATAAGTATTGGCGCCCTGTTCATTTGCCCACAATTCCAGACTGGAGATTTCAGACAGAATGGTCCCATAATTTCTCAAACAAACAATAATAAATATGCAAAAGGTAACAAAAGGTAACCAAAATCCAAAAAGGCAATTGTTATACAACAAAAAATATTTTCAATAAAAAATTATTTTTTTCTAAAACGACATTTTTTTTTGCATATTTTAGGTTTACTAGGTAAATATAAACAATTTAAAGCCTTATCTAGATGAAATATTGCCTCTAAGAAATGGTCTTATACAAATTCCCATCGTACATAAAATAAAACAAGTATAAAACCAAAAATGCGTTTTCTAGAGGTATCATAAAAAAAGATTATTAAACAAGATTCCTCGATGGCCGAA